ATATATATATATATATATAAAATTTATTTATTTTTTTTTCCCCCCGGAATTTTCAGGAAAGTCCACTTTCATCTCTGTATATGACTCTTTCAACATTTTGGGTTGCCGTCCCCTGTCTTAGGACAACTTAGCCCATTATTCCATTACTCCCTAATAATATTTGAAACTAGTCCAAATGTTAACAAGGCCATTGTAATATATATATATATATATATAAAATTTATTTATTTTTTTTTCCCCCCGGAATTTTCAGGAAAGTCCACTTTCATCTCTGTATATGACTCTTTCAACATTTTGGGTTGCCGTCCCCTGTCTTAGGACAACTTAGCCCATTATTCCATTACTCCCTAATAATATTTGAAACTAGTCCAAATGTTAACAAGGCCATTGTATTGTTGACTTAGAATGTGACACTGGCCTGAATAGCATTTAGCTTTGTCTCATTGTTGAAAGAAAAAAAAATGCAAACTTAAGACAGGGAGCCAATCCTTAACCATTAGGACATGATATGTCTTTTGTTGCTCTTTCATCCAGCCATGTATCAGGCAGGTTTCTTCTCTTATCTTACCCGAGAACACCCCAGTGCTGTTCCCTGAAGCTGTGAAGGTGGCAGTGAGTACAGCACTGAGTGTATAAGTAGTAGTTCACACTTCTGATATGAGCACAGACAACACAGGCGTACTTCTTGAATCATGTCAGTGAGACTGAAGTGAAAAGTGCTTTGAGGTAGAGAAATGTTTCCACTCAATTATTTAAACCTGCTGGAAATAGCTAAGGCCAAAATTAGATGTGTCAAAAATTGTGCTCTCTGTAGCCAAATATTCCTCTCACAAAGCACATGCACTATAGGGTAAATACATGACACACATTTAGGATACAAAATATTCTCAAATTGATGTGTTGTATATCCACGTCATGACATTTTAATCAGACTTTACAGTTCCTCTCATGTTTGACATTGACAGCAGTTTTCTTCGACTAGTGTTTGATGTTAATATTTTAAAACAGTATTTAACTTATATGCATTTTTTGGACACATCATTAGATAATTTATTGAAGCAGATAACAAAGAATCATATTACTCGATCATTTCATGTTAGGAATTCTTTGTCTCATGCCTTTACCTGAATGTGTGTTGATGCAGAGGGTTCTGGTTGTGGTGCTAAGGATGAACTTGCCATCCAACTGGAGGAGTGGGGTGGTGGAGAAGAAAAACAGGATACGTCTTCCATTTCAGCCACCGAGGACTCTTTGCTCTTTGAAAGTAAGAATATGATCTAGAGACACTGTCAATGACTGTGGAAATCCAGGAAGATATTTTTTCCAGCATGCAGTGGGAGCCCATAAAATCTTAATAAGCAACCACCATACCATAACACAAAAATGTTCTGATCTCATTGTTCTAGTCCCAACCTGACCTTAAACCGAGCTTAAACATGTGTCATCTACATTGTTTTTAAATGGCTCCTGTTTTTGTCTGGTCAGTTTAAAAATGTACCATAAAATACAATGTTTTTGTACTCCAGCCGCTTAATACTCTTTGGTCACCGTTTTATTTGGGTTACCTTATTTTTGTATTTCATGCTAACATTTTTACTCTGGAGTCTTTTTATTTTATTTTTTTCATTCTTATACAGATTCTGTACTTTTAAATGAGACATTTTGTTTTGTTGTTCACAATTTCCAACTATATTAATAAAGTCTGTGACATACTTTTGTCAAAAGACCTCAATTAATTGCATAACACTTTACACCCCTTTTTGTATGCCTCCCAGAACTCACCCTGTTTGGAGGTTGTGCCCCTGTTTCATGAAATAAGCCATTGTTCATCGTTTCAGAAAAATGCAGCTTACAAAATTGCTCAATTATTTAATTTCACACTTGGTGGGTGGACAGGCACTCTAGAGATCAAAATATTTGCATCCAAGCAATTAAAAGGTAAATTGTCACCATTAATACGAGCTACATTGTGTAGTTGTCACTTGAACTACAATTAACACGACTCCGCCCAATTGTATATTGTGCAGTCTGTTTTTGCTGCATCAAAGTAATGTCTACAATTCCAAGAGAGCATTGCCTTAAATATTATTTGATATGATTGTAATTGCTGTTTCTCTGCTATTGATACACAGAGGTCGTCTTGGACACAAATGGGTCTGGCGAGGCTGCAGGAAAACAGCAGCCTGCTCACTCTTCTGCAGGGACGACCCCGTCACTCACAGATGGAGGAGTTGAAGGTGAGGAGGAGTGGCAGCTGAAGGAAGACCTGATGGGAGCGTTCGAGGGGGCTTTAGATGTCGGTGGCAAACGAGGTGACTTGCGGGGAATCCGGGTGCTCAAGAATGACCGTGTGATGGGGCCCCGTAGTGGTGGAGGCCCATGCTTTGGAAACTGTGAGGATGACGAAGGTTCAGAATGGGTAACGCCACATGCTCCTACTGTATAAAATTTGCCATATTGAGTAAGGGATGTTAATAAATCCCTTTTTGATTGTGTGTGATTTTGGTGTTGCTTTATCAGATCACCTTTCAAGTAAAGAGAGTAAGAAAGGCAAAGGTGGATGGGAGTGAGAATGTGGCCAACTCTGATGATAGCCAAGGTGGGGAGCCGGTGTCTGAAGGACATTCTATTCTGGAGATTAGCGGACCGACTATTCCATCAGCAGGTCCTCCAGGTACCACAAAATTACACCAGGGTGAATGAAGGACAAGTACTGAAAGGCCACACACTCAACCCATTAAACAACCTGTACATCTTGGCCTTTTTCTTTGGCCTGGGCAGGCCGCTGGAGGGACTATACAAGTCTCGGATGGCCAGGGCCAGAGGAGTGTCAGCGCACACGAAGGGTTGACCTCACCACTGCAGCAAGCACCTGGCTAGCTGTGTCGGCCAAGAACATCGAGTAAGCTTTTATCCTGTGCCATTTTATCGTGATGCTTAATTTCCGTGTTATCTAACAATTAAGACGATTGAGCACTTGAGCTTGAGTTTTCTGTTGCTAGTTGTTAGCACAGATGTGCTATTTTACAGTGAAATGGGTTTTGCACTTTTGTGTATGAGGTAGGCACTCGCTCAAACTTACTTCAAACTTTTCGCCCACCAGGCAGTCTTGGAATCTTCTCTCTTAAACTACCGGTATTCAAGATGTCATTTGCCTGTGAAAGCATTATTATTGCATTTGTATTACATTTTAATTATACAACTTATTTTAAAATAACATCTGTGCCCTGAATAATATAACAAGCCTATGAAACAGTTCCTATGACCCTGTAATCTTGTGCCGCTGCATACATGAGTTCATTGCATGTAGTTCTTAACCTTAAACCGTCGTATGTCGGTATCAGTGTCAACCAAGGACCACCTATACATCGATGGTTTAGAGGTATGACTGTGATTCACCATTTTATTCAACACTTGCTTCCCCCAGCATCACAGAGCACATCGATTTTGCTACCCCACTTCAGGAGCCAGCTGTTGAGCCATTATGCAATGCAAACCTCGCTGCCAGTATGCACACCCTCGACCACCTGGCAGGCATGGCTAATCGAGCCGCCATCCACTACACAGGAGAGAGCCAACTCAGTGAGGTAGACTAACGAACAGTTCAAACACACACACACACACACACACACACACACACACACACACACACACACACACACACACACACACACACACACACACACACACACACAAAAGAAGAATCATCTCTAAAAACAAAAATTGAGTTATTATAACATGATTTTGATGTCCCTGACGTCAGGTCCTGCAAAACCTTGGGAGAGAGGAATTCTCCCCGCAATCTTTTGAACAGGTGGGGACTCGAATTGCTAAAGTATTAGAGAAGGTAAGTTAGACTTGAAATCTGAACGCAAAACAAACAGTTGTTTAAAGGTCAACGTTGTGTGGTGATGAACTGTTCACATTGAGGCAAGCATTTGTTTGAGTGGCCAAAAGAAAAGAATCGGGCACATAAATGAACCAGAAAATTGGAACAATTGAGTTTCGTTTTTTTTGGAAACCTTTCGATTCAAAGTACTATACGTGTACATGGATGTAATCCTGGACGAAAACATTCCACATATATGGATGGAATCCTCTGTCATTGTTTGCAACTAACAATGCTCCCAATATGTTTTGAGTGGCCAACAGCGCAACAACCTTAGTTATGACAATGTACGGGGATGGATTGCCTTTTTAGAAAGATATGCTAGCGTGCATGCATGCTACTGTATTTTTTTTAAGATAGCGTACATTTTGCCATGCCTGTGTCCAATAATACAATGTGTCCTGTGTATGTGTTAAATGCAGAAATAGCACCCGTAACTCACACTCCACCTTTTAATATGGTGCAGTGTGAAAATACGGTGAGACACCAACCCACTATAACGTGTGCACTCAATTGTAGTGGGAATGCATGAACTAAGTAGACAATCCCATCGTGCGCAATTTACAGCACGGCACAGCCTCGGATTGCGAATAATAACGCAAAGCTCATAACCGCAGCCTATATAGTTTACCGTTCTTCCAATCCCAATGGGTCAGCTTACACAAGTAAGCTGACCTCACAGCTCCCCACACAAATAACGATTCTCTCTCTCTTGTTTTCACTTTCTCTCTGTTTTCTCTTTCTTTTCTCTATTTCTCTCTCTCTATCCTACGTTCAGTTGCGTTTAAAAATGTTTTGTTTTGTGGTCAATTGTTCTAAAATGTTTACCAATGGTCAAAATGTATTTATTTTACGAACCATATTCTAATTAAGTTATTGTTATAATTATTGTTACATTTTGCCGTCATATGGTTTCTGTATTTGTGTTGAGATAGTCTTTGCAGGTATCGCATCCAAGTTAAAATGTGACACGATAAAATCATGCTCAATATGACCTTTTTATATCAGATGTTAAACATATAACATGATGTCTTCTAGAACCAGACATCATGGGTATTATCCAGTATGGCTGCACTTTATTGGAGGGTGAAAGGTCAAGGCAAGAGGGCTATTGACTGCTTGCGACAGGCCCTCAATTACGCCCCCTATCACATGAAGGTAGGTCATCCCTGTGCCTTACCAACAGTCAATGAGATATTAGCCCCGTTCACACGGCAACGTTTGGTCCGACGCAGCTCCGAAATAAATCCAGTCGAGCATTCACACGTGCACATTTGCTCCGGCGTAGCTCCACTAAAGAGCTTATACCGGACCAAATTTGATCCACCTCAGGGAGGTGGTTTAAAAATTTGCTCCAGAGCAAATGCTCGTTTGCGACGCTACGCCGAAACAAATGTGCACGTGTGAACGCAGCTGGATTAAATTTGCTCCAGAGCAAATGCTCGCTTGCGGGGGAGTGGCCTCGCTACGCTCGCTACCAGACGCACGGAATCCGACCCCGGTCGACAGTGACGAGGGGGCCAGCGACACAGACGAAGCCCGG